GTTTGTATCTGCATATGAGTTGAGCTTAGCCTGTAATCACTAGTAGGACATTATCAGCATAAGCTTGAAGATAAAGACATCACAATAATCAATTTGTAGTGCAGTATTCATTACAATGTTCCAAAAAAGTGGTCCAGAGTTGGAACCTTGAACGCAGACTTTTTCCTGATTTTGGGACTTGTCATTGGTATATGAGTTATTAGATTCGAATGAAATTTTTTCAAAAAAAGAAATTGCATCAATTCGAAAATTCTCTTGCATTATATCAGCATTGTTGCCATTCAGAAAAATGAGGGTGATAATTCTGTGCAGTTTTTAAATTGAAGATTTCTCTTGGATACTGGACTTGTGTCGAGAGAAGGCAAGAGGAAGTTGGTTTATTTATTAGGATAATCAATATTTCTATTAAGGGATATTGCTTATTTCATCGTAATTTTTTATATGCAATACATTTTCATAGACTTTCTTTTGTTACTTTTCCATTTTGCTGACGCAAGCGATAAAGTCGCCAGTAATGTGACAACCGATACCAAACGAAATATACTCCACCAGTAAGCTTTAACTTTTACATTTTCAAAACAAGTCGCAGCCATTTCTTATCAGATTGATTGTTTCTTTCAATACTGGTGCACACAATTACATAAAAAATATTACCAGATAGTGCCATTTTATGCCCTAATGCCATCCGCGGGCGGTAATTAAGTCAATTAGGATGCAATCACACCGCTCATCCAACGGCAAAAATATAAAAAAGGCAAAGTCAAGAGTTAAATTCATCAGTTCTAATGAGAATGCACTAGCGAAGTTAAGCACTGCGATTTTAATTTCTGAGTAAGCTATTTGTACGAATTGAAATACTTCTTGCATTTAAACTTGTATTCGAAATTAAGATTTAACTTGAAAATTAATGTAGATAATTACTGAATTAAGAGTTTTGTAGCATAGTTTAAGAGATCACTTGATATTAACCGGCAAATCAGGATGTTGTACGATGAAAACATAGTAAATTATTAAATTAATGGCTTTTTACCAATTTATTGTCTTTATTTATTTGGCTTTTTTACAAAATTTTAAACTACATTAAAATATTTATACCTTCGAAATAAAAAATTCTTAGAACTAACATTTGCCAACACTTTTTATGTGTATGCTGTGTGTTTTCGCCAATAAAGTTTACTTGGCAAGATTTGCCCAGTGAAACGCAAAAGTACCTTAAAAAAAAAAAATAATAAAAATTAAATTGCTCTGCAAAGTACAATTCTGCGCAGTTTTTAAATTTGTGCATATAATTGCACTAAAATCATCTATGCACAAAATTTATTACATACGATTTGGGGTGATGGCAAGCCGTATCCCGTTTTTTATTACACCACTTAGCTGAATCCCACATTCTTTCTATATTTTGGATGTGAACACCTGTTGTTAGTTCTACAAAACTGTACTTATGGTTGGTTAACAATAAAGTGATTGCAACGAGCTTCTTCAGGTTGTTCCATTTAGCAGTTTTAACAGATCATTGATCTATCTTGTATATGTCATTATGGAACCAACTTCCAATATGGATGATCTTTTTTGATTTGTAACACTGCAACTCCGAAGAGTTTTGTTGCAACGCAGTTTCATGGTATGGCCAATTTCACATATTCGTTTTCAGACAAAAGACCTCTTTCTTGAAAAATAATACGGCACCCACCACTTTATTTGGTATATTAATGATTGTTGACCGTATATTCACAAAAAGCAAGTTTTCGAAAAGCTTAGCAAAATTGAAACGAAGCTAATATAAGAACAAGTTGCGAGTATAAAAATGTGAGACAGTGTTACATAAGGCAAGGTTTGTGTGACATCTCGGGTAATTGGATTCAATCTCAAGGACCACTATATTAAGGAACTACAGTCAAAAGTCGTTAATTCGGACACCCATAATTCGGAATGATCTATAATCCGGACATCAAAACTAAAAACTTTCTGCGCATGCGCCGCGTTACACATGCGCAGAGGCGTTACGCGTGCTCGTAAGACTTTTACGACTGCGCATATGAGTGTGCGCAAGTGCATAATACGTTTCGCGCGCGCATTTTATGTATAATGGACGTATAAGCTAAATAATTATCTATTTCAGTTAATGTTGATGATTGCGTTGTTCTTAATTTTCGAATTGCATCCGGCTTATTATTTTTTGCAGACTGTAAGAGCAATTTTATAAAAGTAAGCTTAAACTTCGATTATATCAAAGAATTTCGGATATATATTTGCTAATATGTAAAGGATCTAAAGCGAATGTATGTTTCGAAATCCGAAATCTGTTTATCAATTTCACGCAGTTCGGCGGGGGGAATGCCTCGGCGCACAATGATTTGGAAGTTGATCTCTCATCACTATCCTTATCTTCAAGCGCAGATGTTTTTATTTTATTTGGCTTATAATTGCTAACTAAATGTAGTATTTCATCTTGATGCACTCCGTCTTTGATATGATTTAAAACAAGTTCCTTGTCATTATAATTCGCTTCCGATAGTCAAGAAAAAGTGAACAGAGGTTATTGAAAACGAAAAAATTTCGATTGACAAATTAGTCGGTATTCTGACACAGCAATTATAGGACTTGAACGGCGGAACTTTGTAACTGAACAAGAAATTATGTCTGTTTAATAGAATTAAAGAGAAAGTATTATCACATGAAACGAAGCAACTTAAACAACTTACATTGAAAGAAATGTTTAAATAAAGTACACAAATAAATTATTAAGCATTTTCTTTTTGCAAATTTTGATACCCTTTTAGATCATAATTGTTCTTTATTTCATAAATTACGGTTTCATATTTTTAATTTTAATAATTTTTTCGCATGCCATCTTACGAGATTTAAAACTGATGATCTATAATCCGGAAAAATCGATAATCCGGAATCGGCGCCGAAGTCCCGACGAGTCCGGATTAACGACTTTTGACTGTACCAGAATTTCTTGTGTTAACCCTCCGTGCACTATGACTGACTATCTGGTCATGAGATTTTTTGTCACTTGGTATATATATATTACCTTACAATTTCAGATATTTTGCTTGCTTTTATAATATCTTAATACATGTAAATTTATGAAAATAGAGACTAAAATAAGTAATATACAAGTTTGGGTAATAAAAGGCTGTTTAAATACAGCTCTTCATGACAGATTCAAAAACGCTCAGAGGGTTAATCACAAATAATTTTCTTTTGATCAAAATTTGCATTGAATCTTGATGGATTCCATTTACCTAAGGAAAAGATGCTATTTTCCCACACATATCACATATATTTTGAATAAGTTTCGGGGTACTAGAGCATTACTCAACCCCTTAATTGCCCGAAACTCCGCTCGATCTATGCCAAACAAATTTCATGTATTTAGATCCATGCTGCAACAAATTGTTACTTATGCCTGTTCCGTCTGGGATTATGTATGTAAAACCAATATGCTTAAAATCCAGCAATGCCAGAACATCACTTTAAGAAGAATTTCCAACAGTCTCTGGTTTTTCAGAAACGAGGCCATCCATAATGAATTAAACATTGATAGCATTTGCATTGCAAAAAAATTCTTCAATAACATCGGAAAAGTCAATAACAGTTCCATCCCTAGATTGAACTACAACTACACTGATGAAAACAAACAAACAAACAAAAAAAAAAAAAGACCTGGAGCAGTACTCCGACACTTAATTGTACCCTGCTATTTTTTTATTCGGGAGTCTTTGTCCCTTTTTTAAATTAATTTTTCTCATCGTTAATTTCACTTTTTAATACTATTTTTAGGTTCTGAGACGTGCATAAGTGTCACCATCTACATTTAACACCATCCACTACTTCTTTTCTCTACCATGCTTTAAAAAGTATTCTTTTATAATCCATTTTTTTCCCACAATAGTTATTTAGGCCAACTTATATTATCTCACCACATGATCCTTTTATCACCACACGTATTTTGTTTTAAATTTTACCAGTTATAACATTACGCTAAGTAAGATTTGTAATTTAGCCCTGCCCCTGACCAATGTCTGACGAGCAAGACTATGCACTCTCTTTCCAGGTCGACCATTGGACCACGTGACCCAATAGCTCCTTCCCAGCTCTTCAACTCATTCTACTTTCATTTGAGCGCCGGAAACTGTGACAGTAGCATGCGACATCTAAGATACGCCTTTCCCTACAGCATTGCCATATTTATTTTTTCTTGACATCTCCAGCTTATGATTCGACCGACTCCTAGAACTGTATATGTACAAGGCTCATTCATTGCTTATCACGAGAATGTTTTTTCTCACTAATGAACTACACTATGTTATGCCAGGAAAGCTATGCTTTTCCACACGGCGCTACACACAGGATGTGGCTTTTCCAGCCTAGGAGCCTATAGAAGAGCCTTCGTCTTCGAACGTATACATGATGACTGCCTTATGGAATATTACAAAGAAATTTCATATTTGTATGCATACATATTTTCAAGTTTCGCTCCAATAAATTATTGAAAATAACATTTATTAGAGTTCTATATCACATAACATTGAAAATATTTCATACATCATATCTATTCTGTCATTAAAAATACATTAACTTAACTATACCAGCATACTAGTATATTTTATATTATAGTATTAGCATTCTAGTATTTTACATTTCTCGTATTTTATTTCTAGGTATATATTTGATATGTTTATAATTTCACTTGAGCTGGCATGCAGAAATAGGAAATGTCATTAACTGCTGGAAAAAGAAATGTGACTATATTAGTAATTTACATTATTTAGTATCAGGATTTGTTTCCACAAAATAGCAAAAACTATTTAGAACAATCTGAAGTCTGGCCACCAAGCCTTATTTAGAGGTGATGTTACTAATGCATAGTAGTTAATCATGCCATGATGCTTAAAAATTAATTTCCATAAAAGAAGCAGAATACAGTTTAAAGCATATAAAAGTGACACATTCCCATAAAAATTTAGATTATGTTCAACGTACCTTACCTTTGTTATCAGCCAGCATAAATATTGTATTATTTTGTGAGACACGGATGTACACTGTGGGGATATCTGCAAATCTGATCCCATTAAATAGTCTATCATTTGTATTTTCATCAGGAAACTCGCATTTCCTATAAAAATAATAAAAAATATTTTAGATATTTTAAAGAATCACTATTTAGTTACACTGATAAATTATAAAGACCTGTAAAATAACAGCTCTGCATCTAATAACTTAAAAAAATCTAGCAGCAAACACCCAGTAGAAGGGATCAATCACTTAGTTATTAGTTGGCGCATACAAAATGTTCAGTTTAAGGCTACCTTGTTCAATTTCTGTTACACAATGCAGGTTTTCTGACTCTGAAATCTTTAGTTAAGTCCGACCTCTCCCGAAACATGAATGCTGATTCATCACTGAATACGATTTTCTGAAGAATTTCAGTTCCTGACAAACACTCTACCATTAGGTTTCATTTGCAGACAAAATTTAAAATTTCCATGCAGTCTGCTTCAACCTTTCAAGATCAATTGTATGGAACAGTTGACATAGAAATTTCTGTCTGAGACTGGCACGACGACAATTTTTTTTTGTCAACAATTAAGTCCCATGTTTTCATTCCCCCAAATCAGAAATTAAATTCCTTGAACTAAATATTATATAAGTTATTTCTTGAACTAAATATTATATAAGTTATTTCTAATTATTTCATAAAATAACGGTTCAATTTTATTTTGTTGCTTGATGATTACAGACAGGTTGTACTTTGAGGATGCTACGCCAAATGAAATGACACTTCTGACCCACTCCCATATTATAAAATTTTGTTAATTTACCGTAATTTCGCGCGTAGAGTCTGCGGACTATCCACCAGTGCGGATAATACGCTGGTTATTCACGGTTAAAATTGTTGAAATTAAAAAAACACGCTGTCGTGAACTGCCGATGATCAAATATAAAAAAAGCGCGAGATTCCAAGTATCCTTCGCACTGCATTAGCACAACTGCCAGGATGGGGAAAAGTAGTTGATGCGTCAGCTCGGTTTTTAGGAGCCATAGTAGCAAGTACCTGGAGTACGAAAAAAAAAAGCGTGATTCGTTTACTTATAGCGTGGTTTGGCAACACCGAGTGAGTGGGGTCAAAGGTCACATTTTATTACCACTCATCACGAAGATAGCACGTTGCACAGTATTTTGTCTTTCATCTTCGATAACGTTGATGAAACATCGCCGGAGATTTACTGCTGAGAGGTAGTTGAGAAAACTGAAAAAGATGGAAATAGAAAAGCGGGCCATATTGGTTTAATCCTAGTATCCGGTGCACACGGGATTTGACTACTTTTGGCGACTTTATGATGAGCAGTGAAAACGGGACATATACGATGAGTAGTTAACGGGTCATTCAAAGAAAATATATAGTTAAATATAGTATATATACTATGCGTGTATAGTGTATATATATATAGACGTTCTTTGGATCATTTTTGGTGTTGGCGATAATTTTCAAAGTCGCGCCTAGGCTGCACCGTATACTAGGATTTTACTCCGTTATTTTGAAGTGGACAAGAAAGCGGTGAGAAATTTGCGCAAACAAAAGGATGTGTTTAAAAAGCATGGGAATATTGCCGTATTAAAAAAACGTAATTTCGGCCGTATAGTCCGCGGACTACCTGACAATTTAAAATTTTTTTTTTTATAGAAAATCGTGTCTGCGGACTATACGTGCGAAATTACGGTAATAACTTTTTTTCACGATTTTGAACAGTTTTAAAACTTAGCTTTCTTAAAAATGGAAAACAAAAAGTAAATTTCTACACAATTATATAAACTGAATACACTATTTGAAATGCAAAAATCTTAAATTAATTTAAGCCACTTGAATCTCATGTTACACAAAATAAATTCAACTTTTCTACTTGTATAAAAGAAAATGCATGTTTTTAAACACACCCCAGTTGTGTATTTTTACACCTGAAACTACACTAAATATTGCATTTGTCCTCTAGATTTACAGCACTAGGTTCTGAAAACAAAAAAAAAATAGTCACTATTTTCCCATCTAAAAGTCTACTGTATTGGTAAACAGTATTTCACAGATTATTTTTATTTAGTGTTTTCAATTTGTACCTGCATTTAATATCTGAAATGTATTTTGTGTAGATTCTTCAAAAAGCTACCTGGATGTGGCACATGTTCTCACACCAGAAAAACTTCCCAAGCATGTTGATTTCACTTTACTCCCAGTACATTGCTATGTGTTTGTTCTTTTATTGACAGATTGTAATGACAATATTACTATGTGTACTTACTATTCTTACTGAAAATTTTTTCTAACAAAAATATAGCAATAGTTACCAGTACATAGGTACTTTTTAATATTTATTCGGAATAGTTAAAAAAGGAGAAAAAAATGCAAGGAAATACATTTGGTACTTGGAATTTTTACCATTTACAAACAATGTTTTTTTTTTTTTTTTTTTTATTTATTTTTTTTATTTAACCATTTTCTCAAATTTCTACACAGTATACAGAGAGAATGCATTAAAAATCTCAGCTGCAATGATGCTGCTGCTCATCATGGTTATCGACTGAATGGATGTATTATATTTTAAATTATGTTATTTAGCTATACAGTCAAAAGTCGTTAATCCGGACTCGTCAGGACTTCGGCGATTCCGGATTATAGATCATCAATTTAAATTTGGTAAGATGGCATGCAGAAATTATAAACTTAAAAATATGAAACCATAATTTATGAAATAAAGAGCAATTATGATCTAAAGGGTATTAACATTTACAAAAAAGCTTAATATTTATTTGTTTACTTTATTAAACATTTCTTTCATGTAAGTTGTTTAAGTTGCTTCGTTTTATGCGATAAGACTTTCTCTTTAATTCTATAAACAGACAATTTCTTGTTCAGTTACAAATTTCCGCTGTTCAAGTCCTATAATTGTTGTGTCGAGAATACCGACTAATTTGTCAATCGAAATTTTTTCGTTTTCAATAACCTCTGTGTCACTTTCTTCACTAGAGGAATTTGATTTAATCATATCAAAGACGGAGTACATCGAGATGAAATACTACATTTAGTAAGGAATTATACGCCAAATAAAATAAACACATCTGCCCTGAAGATAAGGATAGTGCTGACAGATCCAACTTCCAATTCATTATCCGCCACGGCGCCCCCCCCCTGACGCAGAGCAGCGTGAAATTGATAAACAGATTTCGGAATGGTTAGAGAAACAAAAGATATGCCTTTATCCATTTTTTGCAGCAATTCCCCTTTTTGTTTAATGGACTTCGAAACATACTTTCGCTTTGCAGATCCTTTACATATTAGTAAATATATATTGGAAATTCTATTTGACATAATCGAAAGTTCAAGCTTACTTTTTATAAAATTGCTCTAACAGTCTGCAAAAAATAATAAGCCGGGATAAAATTCAAAGATTAAGGAACAACGCAATCTGCAACATTAACTGAATTAGATAATTTTAGCTTAGCTAAAATTCTGTCCGTTATACATTAAACGTGCATGTGTAAACATATTACGTGCGTGCGCACACGCATATTCGCAGCTGTAAAGGTCTTACGCGCACGCGTAAACGCCTATGCGCGTGCGTGGAAAGTTTGTGGCTTTGAGGTCCGGATCATAGATCATTCCGGATTATGGGTGTCCGAATTAACGACTTTTGACTGTATTTTTAAAATTTAAAGATGTAAATTAAGCACATTCATTACTTTAAAAATTTCTATTTTAAATTAAAAAATGAAAAACTGTATCTGATAACAAAGAAAATTTAGAAATTGCCAAACTGAAGGATTATGCAGAAAATGAAGTTGGTTATCCAATGGCCCCCTGCACAAAGTAACAGGAAGTCATACACATTTTTTTTTTTTTTTCAGACTATATTCTTTTGTACATAAATCTTGAACTAACAACACTTGATCTTTGTAAAGTGCCGAAATAAAATAGTATCGCAATCGTGTAAATGCCCATGAATGTCGTTACAATATCTATTTGGCTTTTCTCAACATTTATATTTTCTCTTATTTTCCAGCAGTTCCACCTCATTTTTATTTTATGCGCAGATAATTTAATGGATAACATTTTGAATGGGACATGTCCAGCATGTTACACTGGGTTAGGGCATTTACAGGTGCCCTAACCTAGCACAACAAGCCGACTCTCAAGCAAATATTAGAAGCAAAGAACCTACAGACAACAACGGCTTAAGAGTTCAAACCTGGTAACCAATGGATTTGTTGTACTTTCGGAGGTAGCAACCATGCCATATAACACTGTTTTTCATTTCTTAAATTGTTGTTCATAATTTTGAATGTTGAAGCATCACACTCACTGTTCGCCTTTATAACGTGTAATCTATTCTTTGCTTATTCACTCTTATTGGGTGTACAAATAAGTTTTGAGCTTTTTTTTTTTTTGTAACTTCGAAGCTTTACTCAAAGAAATTGGAATTGAAAGAAATGGATACTTTGAGTAAATGTATTTTACTCAAAGTATTGTCCATAATTAGCTATGACCTCCCCTTGTCTTTAAGGTAACCTATGGATTCAGTATTTAATAATTTCTTGCCTTTTGAGGCAATCCAAGAACCAACCCAATTTTTGGCTTCTTAGTATGAAGTGAAGTGCTGCTCAGCCTAGTCGTGAGATATCGACCTGAAGAAGTGGAAGTCGGAAGGAGCAACATCTGGTGAATATGGCAAGTGAGGTAGGACATCCCATAGAAGTGCCTCCAAAGTTTTCTTGACGAGTTTTGCAGCATGTAGTCCAGCACTGTTCTGCTGAAAAAACTATGCTATGTCTTTTTGGCATATTGGGGGACATTTGAGCTTAAATGCTCGGCTCAGTTGCATAACTGTTGCTTGTAACATTCTCCAGTGATGGTTTCGCAAGGCTAGAGTACCTTATAATAGATCAGACTGAGCTGATCCCACCAGAAGCACAGTATTAGCTTCTTGGCATGAATATTCGGTTTGGCCGTTGCCGGCCTCAAAGCTGTATATATAATAAAGCGTCGTCAGCTCAATGGACGAACCTGCGCTTTGTCGCGATCGCAGCGCTCCTGGTGGTTGCGCTGTGGAAACACAATTAATTGAA